TTTTTCGTTTAATTTTTGTTAATATGTGTCACAATATGATTGGTTTATAAATTAATTTTATATTCTTAAAATAAATTTTTTAATTTGGATTCTTTCTTAAATTATGTTACTATAATTGGAATGAGATTAATATTCATTCTCTAAATTATGTATTCTTGTTTAAATTATAATATTACAATTAAAATGAGATTGCCAATAACAAAACCCTAACAGTTTATTACCCTTAAATGTGTGCCCATAGCAGAATAGGTGATTGTTTTATGTGAAACATAAGAAAAAAAATAGAAAATAATAATTACATGACCAATAGGATTATAAAAGGCATACTATTATAAAATTTAAGTAATAGAAAAGAAAATGAGAGCTAAAGAGAATAGCAAAGAATTAGAATCAAAAGAGTAAAATGTCACAATTGAAAAGTTAGAGACTAAAGTGATACAAGTCCCAAACTATAGGGACTATTTGTGTAATTTGCCCAAAATAGAAAATTAGTGATTTGAATCTCTAAACTTAGTTATAAGTATAATTTTTCGTGTATTTGTGTGATTTTCTCTATTACATTTTAAAAGTCTTTAAATTAATTATGTGGGATAAATTATACTTTGCCCCATTTATATTTAATTATTTTTTTACTTTGGTAGTTAATTTTTTTTTTTTCATTTTACTTTACCCTTTCATGTACCCAATTTTTTTTCTCTCAAACACATATAAATGTGTATTAATTGAGTGTTATTTTTTTTTCATATTTTAAGTTTTTTTTTTTTAATTTACTCTAAAAGCAAAGTTATGTCCAAAATTAGATTAAAAAAAACATAATAATAATAACACATTGTCAATCATGTGGCATAAAATATTTTATTATACACAACTCACACATCTGACACAAACTCAAATCTTAATATAATAATATATTTTCTATGTCATATGATAGCTAACATGACTTTTTTATCTAATGTTAAATAGAATTTAATTTTAGGAGTAAATTGTAAAAAATTTGAATCATGAAAGGTGTCCCCAAAAAAAAAAAAAAAACCCTTCAAAGCTTGAAGTAAAAAAATGACCAAACATAAAGGGAGTAAAGTATAATTTATTCATTAGATTATAATTCATTGAACTTCATTTCAATATTGAATTGATAATATAATAAAATAAGTAATATTAATCTTTATTTTCTCAATGTATCTTTTATGTGAGGGACTATAAATTTAGAATTTTTTATTCAAAATCTATCTAAAAATAACAATCAATAGTTAAAATTCATTTTACTTGTAAACTCCATACTTCATCTGTTTGATCTCTATTACACAAAATATTCTCAACAATTTCTATTCTTTATTGATAGAGAGATTTTCACAAATAAAAACTGTGGGCAATTGGAATGGGATCGAACCTTCTTGGGATCAAGGCGGAATTGGGGATATTGTTGTGCCTTATGGCACAGCATCCTGTTGTGAGGCTCATTGAGAGCTTTTCCTAGGTATATTGTGATAATCTAAACCGTTTAGATTGTAGATTCGTCAAGTAGATCACCCAGATAAAAATCAGGTTAATTGAATTTCTATAACCCTATAACAAGACTATATTTGTTTTTTAAAAAATAAATAGTTAACATATTTTGATAATTTTTTAAAAAACAATGAGGACTTGATCATGAAACCACTGGTATTCGATTAATTTAATTTTTTTTTATAGATACTATATTTAACAAATCTTATAATATGAACGATTCAGATTATAAAAGTATGTCTGAAAAAACTTCCAATAAACCTTACAGCAGAACTACCGTGTCATAAGACACAACAACATCCCCGTATCCGATTGAGTCAATGTGTTGCACACAATTTCACTTTTGAAGGGAAAACCCACAAAAATGGTTTTATTCTTTACTTGGGCTCCCCAATTTTCAATTCATTCACTCAATAAAGGAGAGTAAACATTATCCTATTACTTGTTCCTCTTTTTGGGTGTCGGTCTTGGCTACTTTTAAAAAGATACTTTTTTTTTTTTTTTTTAATTATTGTAGAAATTATAGAGTTGTATAACCATTTGTAAGTTTTTCTTTTGTATTTTGTCTTTTTCTTTTTAGTGGACCCTCCACGTTTTGTATTTTTTTTTTTCTTTTTTTTTTTTTTTTTTTTTTCTTTTTCTTTAATAAAATTTTTCTTTTGTTAGCTATCAAAAAAATGTGACCTACTACTTTGAACCCCACTTATAGTAGTAGTTACTATTTACACCACAAAATCTCCTTACACTTTTTTTTCCTTTTTACACTCATTTCAAAATTTTAAAATTTTTATTACGTCTCTTTATCTTATTTATAATTTCAAAAATAATATCATTCAAAACCTTCATCTTCTCTTCCTTAATCTTTTAAGCTCTAACTCACACCCACTATCAACACCATCCTATCTTAGCCCCTCCCTGCCCACGCCCTCCTCATACACTAGTATCAAAGATGGCATTTTTGGAAAAAGAATTTTTGTGTTTGAATTTTGTTCAGCCAATCAAGGCCTGGCTGAGCAAATGAACAACTCAAAATTTGTTAAAAAAATTAAAGCAATAGAAGAGAAAATGAGATCGAAAGAGAATAGCAAAGAATTAGAATCAAAAGAGTAAATATTACTTCTCGTTCAATCTTATGCATCTCAAAACATCAAGCAAACATTTTCTTATATAGGCAAAATTTTGATAGATACAACATGTGAATTTGGAGAAGTTCGTAGAGATAAGAGGTTGGTGAAGTAAGTGAAAATGGTAAGGTTGGAGGAGTTGTGGAGGTTAGAGAGATGGGTAAATTAGCACAACCTCATCTACTAAATTCCACCATGTTTCATTACTCTCATCTTCTTATCTTGAATAAAAATAATATCACTTTTAATGGTCCTCCAAATATTTCATAATACTCCTCCTTGGATAACCATATATTAAGAATATGCCTCATTAAAACCTTACCAAGTAAAACCCAGTGGGAAAAAACCAGTATTGAAAGAAAAAGAGTACAATATTCTTGTATGTAAGTTGTTTAGATTGCCTCATTAAAACTTTGTTAAGGAAAACCCAATGGGAAAAAACCTTAGACGAAAGGAAACAAGTACAATCCACAAATCTACTTAAATAGATGACTCTCCTTCAATATTGCATAATAGATTTTTATGTCGACGCATCCCAATATTATGCACCTGATTTTTGAATGTTGTAGTCGGTAGTGCTTTGGTAAATAGATCCGCTAGATTATCACTTAAGCATATCTTTTATAGCGGCCTTTGATCTGTGTGATACATGCAGCATTATCTTCATATAATATGGTTGGATTATCTTTTGTAGAAGATAATCTGCATCTTTCTTCAATATGATGGATCATGCATCTAAGCCACATACATTCTCGACTTGCTTCATGAATTGCAAGTATTTATGAGTGATTTGAAGAAGTAGCAGTCAAAGTTTGTTTTACTAATTGCCAAGATACAATAGTATTTCCATAGGTAAAAACATATCATGTTTGTGATTTGGTTTATGTAGATCAGAGAAATATCAAGCATCTGCATATCCGATTAACTGCGGCTTTGATTCATTTAAATAAAATAAACCCATATCAGTTATTTCACAAAGATAACGTAATATTTGCTTCACTCCATTCCAATGTATTTGAGTTGATGTAAAATTATATCTTGCTAATAAATTGACTGCAAATGCAATATTGAGCCTGGTACAATTTATAATATACATAATAGCACTAATTGCATTGAGATATAGCATTTCAAGACCAAGAATTTTCTCACCATCTTCTAGAGGGCAAGAAAACCATTAGAGTATTTAATGGAAGAGCATTTTTCATATAAAGGTGCTTCAGGAGCTTTTAATTGATAAACAAGAATTCCATTTGGCCACAGTTTGATCTTTAGGTCGATACAAGATTTCGTTTTGTTAAGGTCTTTCATTTCAAATTCATTTTAAATATTCAATAGTTTATGTAAGTTCTTCTGGAGTTCCCACAAGATTGAAATCATCAATATATATTGCAACAATTGTAAATCTTGTTTAATAAAAATGCATGGGTAAATTGGATCATTCTCATATCTCTCTTTCAATAGATATATACTGAGGCAATTATATCACACGCTTCCAGATTGTTTTAACCCGTATAAAACTCTTTGTAGCTTGATAAAATAAACACTTCTGAATTTTGAGTTCAATGTTTCAGGCATCTTAAATCCATCAGGGATTTATATATATATATATATATATATCACTATCTAGTGATCTATAAATATGCTATAACCACATCCATTAAATGCATAACTAAATTTTCTGTGATTACCAAACTAATGAGAAATCTAAATGCAATTGTATTCACTACAGGTGAATAAGTTTTTTCATAGTCAATACTAAGTTAAGCATTATAAGTTACAGGTGAATAAGAAACCTTGCACAATAAGTTACGTATTATATCTAACAATTTCATTTTTCTTATTACACTATAACACAAATGCCCACTTATATTCGACAAGCTATGTCCCTTCAGGGGGTTAGACTACAAGTCCAAATATTTCATGTTTTTGTGAGCGAGTTTCACTCTTCTTGTATTGCTTCTTTCTACATTGGCCAATTATTTTTACGACGTCATTCTTCGATAGTTTGTGGTTTATTATCGTCATCACTTCTGTTAATATTTTCACCATTACTCCGAGCCTTGGGCAGGCCGGTGGGCCTAAGCACGGGCTTGGGTGCCTTTATATTTTTTTTTTTTTGTTCTTTTTAATTTTTTCTATCAAAATTTTATTATTTTTCATTAAAAAAAATGCTAGGCCTTGAGCGGGCCGGGTAGGTCAAGCCTTGAGTGAGCCTTAAGTAAGCTGATGGACCGGGCCACGAACCAGACCAAGCCGAGCTTCAAAATGATGGCATATGCCCAGGCCTAGGTTCTCAAGTTGGACTCGGGCTCAGGTCCTAACGGGTCGAGCCCATCTCAGACTTTAGGTCGATTTCAGGTAGTCCATGGATTGCGGGCCATTTTTACACTCCTAAAACCAGCATTGTTTTGTTCCACAAAGAGATGGCCACGGCTTGGTTTGTCATTCCCTATCCCGCTATGGGTGAAAATTTTCAATTCCATCTATCTTTGCAAATACCCGACCATATTTCAAATAGTTAAAAAAATTAAAAATCATTTAAATCTTTCACACATTGAAAATTTTTATTGTTTCCATATATAAACAGTGACACTTCTAAAATTATTATTTATTTATATTTAAACAAAACCAGACTTTTATTATTCCTTTCTTATATCTAATTATCTTATATGTTATATATATACATATATATTATTTATTTGTATATATTATTAATTATATCAGGTCGGGTTTGAATCGAAAGAGGCAGTACCTGCCTCCGTTACAAATAACCAAAATATAATCCACCCTGGCTCCACATAAGTGTTAGGTAAAATCCACCCCATTCGAACGGATATGGACAAATCTCAAACATCAAATTAGAATGGCCAACCCTGTCACACTTCAAAGCAACACATACAAGGCCATGACCAATTTCATCACCACTTTCAGCTTAAAGATTTCAATAGTTTAATCAACTAATGCACTAAAAATAAAGGGATTTCCAATAATTAATATGGTTCAAACCTTAGCATCTATCCACAATAACTCTCATATTACCACGGGATTCGAGATTTACAACTGGTCAATTTCAAAGCGAGACATATCAATTATGCTTGTCTCAGTCCTCAAAAAATATGCTTCTCTCAAACTCATCAAATGCTCTACCCATAACAATGATCAAATAAGTCGAATTTCAAACAAATATGCATTTGTTACAGCGCAACATGGGCTCACTGTCCGATCTAAGATCACCTCATGGCATTTCGGAACTGAAAGCATCTCACCCAAACAAGGACGCTTTTCAATTGTTTGCTCCACAATAATGTATGCAACTCTTATCTAATTCCAAAATTTAGTACAAATAAATTCTATTTAATAAAAATATTGGGGACGAATTAAATCCGGCTAAAATATCCAACAAAGAAACAACCAAATCCATCTAGTTTTCATCATGTCTTTCAGTGATTTAAATTAAACAAACAAGTAACTTCAGCTGACTGGCTATTGGTGATTGCCATTTCCATTTGAAGCAGCCTCATAAGCCCCAGATGCAGCATACATGCTTGGATCCTGATTCTGAGGCACGGCATATCCATAACCTCCATAACCTTGCCTTCCGTAATAAGCTCCGTTCACCTGATTTTTGGAGTCCGTTCTCAACTATCCACATGGAAATTTAAGAAAGAAGAAATTCAAAATAAGGAAAACAAGCTAGTGATAAAAAGTAAAAACGCAGTTGACATTACTATTATTGTTATTGAAATGTAGAACTAACAGAACTCTTGAGAAAGTATAAGCAAATTGAAGGTGATACAAACTTCTACCAAAATTTACCACCAAACTTGCAGCAAAGTAAGATGGATTCAGTTGCATTAATGCAATACACAATGAGGGAAAACAGATGAAAAAAGCGTCATTCTGGCCTCAATTTTTTTCTGAGAATTATTAAGCCCTACCAACAAGTTCAATATTATATATGCCAATTATTGAATCATACAAGAGCACTTGCCATTGAAATAGCAGGCAAAATTTGTCTCTTACCCTTTTTTCTGATAATGTGGAGCTTGTCAATAACTGACATGAATTGGATAGCCAAAGACATAGTTGTAAGTAACTTGTGATACATAGTACAACACGGAATACAATATGTTGTACAGTTAAAACAGTACATATATCACTCATAAGCAACCCATCTTGAATTTAATCTATCTACAATATGCATATGATACAATAAGGGGAACACAAGAAGCATGCACACTTCTATCTCTTTGTGATATTTATAAGACAGATAATAGACACTTTCACGAAATACACATTGGAATCTTGTTTCAAAAGAACCTTTATACTCCCCTGTCACATTGTTTTGTCCGACACAGAAAACAATAACTTACAAAAAATATATTCTCATACAAAAATTCCTTTTCTTGCCAGACAAATAATTTGAGACGGAGGGAGTACTCCAACTAAAATATAAAGCCTTCTTTTCATTTGCTCTTCAAAATAAAATCTACTCTCCCTCGCCACTTATGAGTTATGATACCTCCCTAATGAAGGGTGCAAAATAATCTTATCCATAAGCAGGTGTATTGGAAATTTTTGAAGGCTCATACAATTTCGCCAAAATAGGTAGGCCTTAAGCTAGAAAGTTGGGGAAATTATTGAAGACCAAGAATGATCAACTCTTTTCACATGCGAACATTTTCTGGGAATATGTCTACGTGCAATTAAACTATAAAGCACGGACACCTCTCCGAGGGCTGCGTATCAATGTCGGACACATATCGGGCACGGACACGCGGTGGACACGTGTCCAACAAGCAGCAGAGAGTGTTTGATTTTTTTTTTAATTTTTTGGTAGTCGGACACGTCAATGTTATTAAAGGCGCACCTAGGCCCGTGCCTAGGCCCAAGTCCCATCCAGGCGCAAGGTTTGCACCTTATAGTATTCCAGGCCAGGCAACTTCAATAAGGCGCACCTAGGCGTGCGCCTAGGCCCAAGTCCCGTTCAGGCCCAAGGTTTGCGCCTTGTAGTGTTTCAGGCCACGCGACTGTGATAAGGCACCTGACTGGCCCAAGACTTGCATCTTGAAGGCTTTTTATATTGTTACTTTAATTAGTTTTGTTTAAAATCTGACAATTGATTTAATATGGTGTAGCTACAAAAGATCCCTACTCTTATTACAGATGCCAATACATTGGTCATTCAACTCAAAATCAATGATAGAAGAAAAATTAGCCATAATTCCTAATCTCCAAAAAATACTAAATGTTTAACATTTCATTTTGTTTATATTGAACCCTAAATTATTTACTTATATTAAGTTATATTTTTTTCTGTACAAGGTGTGCCTCACTTCGGTGAAACTTGCGCCTCGCCTTGCACCTTGAGCCTAGGCCCCAGGAGACCTTGGCGCCTTCGTGCGCCTATCGTCTTTAATAACACTGGGACACGTAGCGGACATGATCGGGACACGTTCAGGGGTCAATTTCATCATTTATGAAACTTTTGTGGGGGTCAATTTGTAAAAAACAAAAACAAAAACAAAACAATATCTAACCCTAAATCGAGAAAGAGAGAACAGAAAGAAACCTGGTCGTAGGTGGTCTTTTGTTGTTCGTCAGTGGTCATTGCTCGCTGTTGTTGCAGTTATCTAAGGTAGACTTCGCTGCTTTTCTTCATTCTTCTTCTTCTTCGTTCTTCTTCGATCTCTCTCTCTCTCTCTTATTTGAGCTTTTATTTTATTTTTTTTCTTTTATATGATCAGTCAGTGTAAATCATCAGCTCTAGCTCTCTCTCTCTTTCTTCAATTTTGAACTTTTATAATTTTTTTTATATTGATGGAATGCAATTTTATGTTATTTGTATTTTTAAATGTTTATTTGTTATAATTTTAATAGTGTTATTTTGTATTTTTTATTATCCTTTAATGATTTTTTTTTATAATTTTATGACATATAATAAATAAATTTAATTATATATATTGAACGTGTCCCCAGCGTGTCGTGTCTCCCATTTTTTTTAAATTTGCGTGTCTCCGTGTCCGTGTCCGTGCTGCATAGCAATTAAACTACGTTATAATTCACCATTTTTTTAATGCTAATATTGAAGTACTAGTATTTTGAACTCCAACTATTTTGCAGAACAGTCGGAATTTTCAGACTTATTTCCTCAAGTTACTTGCCATATTACATTAAAAATAATAAAATGTCTATTCTAGAGGCACTATAGCATGTGGCTGAATATTAACAATAAATTCTACATAATTTTTAAGGAACTCAGAAAGAAAATGGAAGTCTCAAAAATTGTGCTCCAGTATTTTCTTCAACTCACTGCCACATCAGTCCTACTAGTAGATGGTTAAAGAGACCCCAATTTCTCACTTAGTTTTGTGTTCCTGTGTCTCTGGTTATCTACAAATGAAAGCAGCAAAGATATTTTGTTTTGAGCCCTGCTCTACTATTAAGAAAAATCCATCCCTTACTATACCCAGCACCTCTTCCCTTCCTATATACATCCAAGATTTTTGCTGCCTTGGGGTAAATGGCCCCTGCCATCATAATCTACCCCTGAATTGCAATATTTAAGAACTTGATATCTATACAAAATGCTAACACACTTAGATGTGGTATTTTTACACTGAATAGTAGTTAGAAACAAGAAAATTGCAGAACATTCATTTGCAACTACTTGTTTCCCCTTTAAAAGAGATAGTTGAAACCATTCAAAGTTTATAATGTTCCATAGTTTGTGAAAAGACTCAAAACCATTACATTTGAAGAAACAAATTTTAACACTGAATACATCACATTAACCAAGTGATTTCTAGGGAACAATATTTGCCATTTGTTGAATATTTTTCCAGATTTTGATGTGTTTTTCAATAAACTCTCAGATTTGGAACATATCTTGCTATACAGGATATGTGAATCAGAATACAGTAAATATAGGATTCAATATACTGCACAAGTCAACACCAAAAGGTAAGACTATTGCATTTATGCAGTCAAACATGCACTCCTTCAAGTTGAGAAAATTTACCTGCCTATTCCCTGGACTTCGACCCCAAGAAAGGCGAACCGTCTGCTTGCCAATAACTGCCCCATTCAGCCCCTGCATTGCATCCTCAGCGTTGCTTCTGTAAACCGAAACAATAAAAGGGGGACCACAACATGGTTATAAATGATGTTCAAAAGCACGTTGCCATCAATATTTTCAATATCAACAGCAGTTAAAACATTGAATACTACATATTTTTTTAACTTTCTGTCTTATTTTTAAATTTGAAATATAAAACATTGTTACTTTTTTTTTCAATAACTTGCTGTCTTAAAAATATTGATATACCATTTTGATTTGAGACTGGCTTGTTATTCCTCAATGAAACTAAAACTGTCATCAATGCTAGGCTATTATAACATTAAATTCCATTAGTCGAAGTGCACCTGTTAGCCAATTGTACAAAGCCACATCCCTTTCCAGCAGGTATTTTTACAGAGACAACCTCGCCATACTGAGAAAAGGACTGCCTGAGATCTTCATCAGTGACATCAGAGTCAAGCCCTCCCACAAATATCTACAATGAAAAATGGGTTACTTATGTAACTAGAGTTGTAATAACTAACTGATCAAGTGAAGCTGGACTTACTGTTGTATTCGATGAATCACCATCAGACTGGGCATTCTGGGGCATAGCACCATTTGAAGGATATGAACCAGTCAATACCAGAGCTATCAAAGAAAGTAAAATTAGTTTTCTTTTCTTTTCTTTTTTTTGTTTTTTTTGCTTTCTTTTCTTTTCTTTTCTTTTTCTGATTTTTGTTTATTTTTAGAAAAACATAAACTACAAACGCATTTGGTAATTGACAAAATGTTTAAAAAAATTTAAAAAATATAAAAAAGAGTGAAAAATGCAAGTTGGCAAGTGGCGGCGGAAGACGGTGGTGGAAGTGGTGATGGTGGGTGGTGGGTAGCGGGTGGTGGCGGGTGGGTGGGTGACGGTGGCAGGTGGTGGGTGGTGGTGGTGGTGGCGGGCAGGCGGCGGGCGGGTGGTGGTGGTGACAGGTGGCGGGTGGTAGCAAGTGGGGCG